AAATAAATAACACGGGATATTTATTGACGGAGAAAACCCCTTGTGAGATTAAAAGTTTCCAGGCCCAACAGTATGAATCCACTATAAACAAATCAATTTACAGTACTACCAGACTCGATCAATACAAGTACTTTCTGACCTCCTGACGGTAATTCCCAAAGCCTTCCTTCCATGCTCTTATACCAACTCCTAACTTTCTGATTTCGTCTATCTCCTGTGAATTCTTGAAAACTCTTTGTTCTCCTGCAATTGGAACTCCGGTCACCTTTTGTAATTTTCAACCTTTAATGGATACTCTAAAAGTATGGATTTTTTGTGTTTGATTTATGGGTTTTGAGGTTTTTCAATTGAAACACTCAAGGATGAATGGATTGAAAGATGTGGAAATAGTATATGTGTTTTTCTCACAATGCTCAATTCGAGGTTTTTTTTGAAGCGGCGCAAGTATTTATATAATGGATTTTTTGGTGGTATGGTATGGTTAAAATTCTCGAAAATCGCAAATTAGGGTTTTTAGTATATACTATCACTTGAGCGAAACCTAGCAAAAAGCGAGGGACAATGTTTCGTTTCACTCAATCCTAGCGACAAGATACTGAAGACCATTCTGTTTTCGTTGCTCAAGCAATGTGTCTTAGCAAGAGGTAAGTGAAATTGCGGCGACACTTCTTTCCTTATTCCAAGCTTGAATCCTAAGCTAACTAACACATATATACAAAATTGCACCTAACTCCTTGACTTTTACACATTTTCAATTTAGTCGTTTTTGTTCACAGAATCGTCAATTACATTAAAATCTAACAAACTCCCCATTTGAAATTCTGTGCCAAACATTTATTACATCAAAAATAACTAACAAGATCTACCCAAAACAATTGACTCTGGCTTCTCCTTTACCAAACCTGTTTCCCGAAATCACAACTCACATACCTAGTGTAAAAGCAAGTGAAACCGTAACATAAGTAAAAGCAGATAAAGACAGTTATCAATAAATGCAAAATCATATCAGTTATTAATATAAACCAAAGCACAAAAAAGAACAAACATCAATATTGCAAAACATCAAAACTTAATCCAGCAATATATCTCAGAAAAATGTCAATCTAAAATCCTTTTTTCTTTGTATGAAAATATGGCATGCACTTCAACATGTATGTCATCCCAAACTACACTCGATCACAAACACGACGCACTCAACGAATAGAATCGCTACCCCACACACAGATCAAGTTCAAACAGCGTAAGTTGTATATGTGATGTATACGTGAAAAGTGCCATTAATTCCAAGTAAACAAGTCTCCAAACCTTAATTTTGTGAGAAGGGACAAGCTAAGATCATTGTAGAATGAGTGTATTCCTTTCTCAATGAAAGTTAAATCTGGCACTACTAGGACCTGTGGATATTGATAGACACTGTTTATGTTTATTGCGAGTTTGGGCTAGTGACTCCAAATCAGTTGACCATAGGGCCCAAGTTATAAGAAACCCCTCAAGCTTAATTGCTCGAGTAAAATAGGCTCCGAGGACAAGTATAAAATAAATTATGATTAGAACCATTTCTCAATTTTTGTTAGGGAAAAACACACAACATGAGATCACACTAGTCATAAATCAATTCAAAGTTAAGGACACCTCATCAATAGAGTACGGACATCACATATCTCACAAATGCAGTCAAGACTCACTTACAGGTCATAGTGTGTGTTGTGCAGATAATATATCTGGAGAAGCATATACCACAAACTCCACATAAACTTAAATCAAGTGATGGAAATACAGAACTATTCATATATTGAATGCATATCTAATTACAAAATGTAATTTCAAGGAAAACAAACACGATGTTGTACTTTTTTTTTCAATATTGAAATGCATTAGTGACAAACATAGGCAAAGAAAAAATGTGTATGCATAGAATGAAGTGAATGCTAGAATGGATGAATATAATATGCTATAAATACATGCTTCTAAGTACGTGATCAAGAAGGTACAAAGACGCCAACAGCTTTCCTAAGCGATTCAAATCTCAATCCATCTAAAGGTTTGGTAAATAGGTTGCTAGTTGGTTTTTAGTAAAGATGGGTTTAAGGGACACTACTGTAGTCTTTACAAGCTCTTGAATGAAGTGACGTCTAATGCCAATGTGTTTGGTTCGAGAGTATTGAATAGGATTTTTGGAAATATTGATAGCATTTGTGTTGTCACAACACAGTCATAGTTCCCTAACTAATCCCATAATCACTCAACATTTACTTCATCGAAAGCAACTGAATGCAACAACTACCTTCAGCTATATATTCGGCCTTGACAACAGATAACGAGATCGAGTTTTGCTTTTTACTCAGCCAAGCTGCAAGAGTACTACCAATATAGAAACAACCTCCCGAAATGCTCTTTCTATCATCAATATTTCCAGCCCAATCAGTATTGGAATAGCCGGCAAGATCCAGATTAGAGTTCCCAGAGTACAAGATTTCATGATCCAAGGTGTCATTTACATAACTAATGATGTGCCTAACTGTACTTAAATAGGATCTATTAAGATCGGCTTGAATCCTTGCACGTACTCGAACACTAAATGCTATGTCTGGCCTGCTAGCAATAAGATAGAGTAAACTACCTATCATACTCCTGTACAGTGTGGGATCTACACTTCCGCCTGTAGGATCATGACCTAACTTAACACTCATATTATGGGTGTCCTAGTGTTTTTCTTACTGTCTATCCCAAATCTCTTGACAAGATCTTTAGCATACTTTGATTGAGAGATGAAAAACCCATCATCTATTTGCTTCACTTTGAGACCAAGAAAATAATAGAGTTCCCGAACTGCACCACCTCTAGAGAAACTACATTCCATGAGGTATGCCGTAATCTATCATACCAAATTCTAGGAGCTTGTTTCAGACCATGCAAAGCTTTATTAAGTTTAGAAACTTAGGATCGATAAATCCTTTGACATAAGCTTTTTCCTGAAGTATTTCATTCAAGAAAGCACTCTTGACATCAATTTGATAAAGCTTGAAAACTAGGGTACAGGCAACGGCAAGGAGAATTCGAATGGATTTAAGACGTGCAACCGGAGTAAATGTCTTATCAAAGTCAATGCCTTCAACCTGAGTGTATCCTTGGGCAACTAACGTAGCCTTATTCCTAGTTATGGTACCTTGGTCGTCGGTTTTATTCTTAAATGGCCACTTGGTACCTATCACATTACAAATTTCAAGCTTAAAGACTAAATATCATACGTTATTTCTCACAAACTGATTTAGCTCGTCATGCAATACATTTACCCAACATTCATCTTTAAGGGTTTCCTAAAATTTCTTAGGCTCAATCCGTGAAACATAGCTAGTGTAAGTCAGATTGTTTAGAACCCTCTTGTGTAGTCTTATTCCTTCTTCTAGATCTCCAATAATATTGTCCTTATGATGATTAGACTTGACTTTAGATGATGGTTCCCAGAAGATTTAGATTTGTCACTAGGTGGTAGCTCCTTATCAGGTGTCTAACCTTTTATGAGAGCGCGGGGCCTATGAGTTGGTTGTTCTTTATATTCAGTAATCATAACCAGATCAATACTTAAATTATCCAACTCATCCCAATTTCTCACACCCTTCCTCGCACTAATATCATATCAATCACAACATTTATTGACTCCATAACAACTCGAGTGCGCATATTGTATACACGATAAGCTCTATTGTTCCTAGAGTATCCTAGAAAGATTCTCTCATCACTATTTGAATCAAACTTGGCTCTGTTTTCTCTATCCCTTATAATGTAGCACTTGTTGTCAAATACACGAAAGTATTTGATAGTAGGCTTTTTACCCTTCAAAATCTCATAAGGGGTCTATCAGTTTTAGATCTAAGGTATACTCTGTTAACTATGTGACATGTAGTGCTAATGGCTTCTTTCTAGAAATGCAGTGCTAGCCCCTTGCTGTGAAGTATGGCTCTAGCCATTTATTGAAATACTCGATTTTTCCTCTCCATTATCCTATTTTGTTGTAGAGTGATTGGCGAAGAGAACTCATGCTGAATTCCCTCCCCCATACAGAAGTTATCAAGGTTGAAGTTTTCAAACTCCTTTCCATTATCACTTCAAACTTTAGATACGGTGAAACTTTATTCATTACTAAACCTCTTACACAAGGATTTAACCAGACTAGATGTTTCAGATTTTTCTCTTAACAATTCAATTCATGTGTACCTAGAGAAATCATCTACCACAACCAAGATATAGCACTTACCTCCTAGACTCTTAGTCCTAATGGTCTCATTAAGTCCATATGGAGTAGTTCCAGATGCCTATTTGTCAATATTTTAAAGTTTTGTTTATGATGTATCCTAAGTTGTCTACCTTGTTGACATGGTCCACATACAACATTATCAATTGGTTCAAGTTTGGGTAGACCATCAACACGTTTCTTTTTGGCCAATTTTAACAAACTCTTATAGTTCAGATGACCGAGTCTTTGATGCCAAAGCTTAGTCACATTAATCTTAGCATTATTATACACATAATTGGAATTCATAAGAACTCCATAGCAATTGTCAGAAGTTCTGACTCCTTCAAGGACATCACCTGAAGGGTCATAAACAGTACACATTTTCTGGATAGAGATGGCAACGGTTTGGTTCGAGGTCAGTTCGTCCAAAACCATCACCGAACCATCAATTTTTTTGTCATACCATAACCGCACCATAACAACGAAAGTCGGTTAGGTTCGGTTTCGGTTCGTATCTCGTTTCGGCTCAGTTCGGGTCGTTAATAATCACGAAAATAAATTATTTTTAATTGGTCCATCCGTCGAATTAAAATGAAAACAAAAACATGATACAAAGTTAATGTAGCGAACAACAATACATCCCAAATGAAAATGCAAAAAAAATCCCAATTCTCAAACACAAAATCCAAATTTAACAAACAATATTCAATAACTCAAAAAGCTTCAACTTCAATTCATATTCAATCTTCATTCTTCTCCACAACTCTTACTGGCATCCGTCAAAACTCAAAGTTGATTCCTATATAGTATATAAGAAATGTAAGTAGAGTAATAAATCAATAATCCATAATGTTTTTAACTAAATATTTAAACAAAAAAATGTACCTCTTCGTCAACATCCTCGTCATCAAACTTTGCACAAGCTCCGAAATATGATGAAGGACCAGAATTTTCTACACACAAAAGAGGAAAAAATTAGCAATAAAAGAAAGTGCATAAATAACAAACATAAAACAATACATCCTACCATGAATATCAGACCAAAGCCAATCTCGAGCACACATTAAAGCTTCTAAAGTCTTCGGGTGAAGCCTATTTCTATGTGGGCTCACAAATCTACCACTTGTACTAAATGCTGACTCGGATGCAACAGTAGATACTGGAATGGCTAATAAATCTCTTGCAACCTTCTGTAAAGTCGGATATTTTATTGAATTTGCTTTCCACCATGTCAATAGATCAAAATCGTCCACCCTAGGCAATACTGGCTCATCTAGAAAAACATCGAACTCTATTTTTACATGATCAGCAGTAACAGAAAGGCTAACAAATGTATCAAAACCAGCCATGCGAGAATGTTTTCCACTGGTAGTAGACGACTCTGATTGTGAAGATGATGGAAACAAAGATGTATTTTCTGTCGAACGATGTGGTCTCTCGTACTCTTTGAGCAACTTATGACCAAATGCTCTAACCTTTTCAACCTCTTCCTGAGCTTCATCTCCAAAAATCAAAGGAAAATAGTATTCAACTAGTTTCATCTTGTATCTAGGATCCAATATAGTTGCAACAGCTAGAATTTCATGCATGTCACTCCAATATTTATCAAACTTTTCCTTCATGCTTGACACCATCCATTTGACTTCATCGCAAGATGATGTGCTCCAATCACGGATTGCCAACTTTATGTCACAAATATTGGGAAAGTACAAATTGGCAGTAGGATATTTTGTTCCTGAAAATAATTCAGTCGCTTCATAAAATATCTCCAACTTATCACAAATCTCTGTAGCCAATTCCTAATCACTCTCACTCGGTACACTTCTGTAATGAGGCTCTCTTTGCCTTAGTCGAGGAAAAAGTTCTTTGTAAAGCAAAGCAGTATGAATCATTAGATACGTAGAGTTCCATCGAGTCTTGCAATCTAATAATAACTTTTTTCCACAAGGGATTTTCATTTGTCGTGCAACTGCCTCAAAAGTTTCAACTCTTTTTGGTGTTGCTGACCAATATGAAACACTATTGCGAATTCTCTCAACACTTGGGCTAATGACATCCAAACCGTCCTTTACTATCAGGTTCAATATGTGTGCACAACACCGCAAGTGGAAAAATTCACCATTCAACAATAAAGAACCAAGAGAAAGCTTATCTAACATAATGTTAATAATAGCGTCATTCGTGGTGCAATTATCAACAGTCAATGTAGACAATTTCTGATCAATATTCCAATCAAATAGACAATCCATTAACACAGTAGACAGTGACTCAGCAGTGTGGGGACAAGGGACATATATAAATCTGTATGGATATGAAAAAAAGTTCGTAAGATAACTTAAAATTTCAGAAAATACGATAGTAGCTTAAAGTCTATTTTATAAAACTATTGTACCTCAAAATTCGGCTCTGAAGCCTCCAAGAATCATCTATGTAATGTGCAGTCATAAGTGAATCTGAGTTAGACGATTATGTGGATAGATGCTACGAACAATTGAAGAATGCCCCTAAAAAGGTTCAATATTCAGACGAATTATTCAGGTGCCTTTACTGCCCAGGAAAGAAGAAGCTGGTCTATCCTTTTAAGAACCTTTTTCAACATGCCTCCGATGTTGGCAGTCGCTCAATGAACAGAGACATCAAAGACAAGGGGAAGCATTTAGGACTTGTGAGGTACTTGAAAAAGGATATTGGTGGGGAAGATATGATGTTAGAATTTGCTGGACTAGCTATTGAGCTGCCCAGAGACAGTGCTGTAAATGATTTGTTTGCATGGCCTTGGATGGGAATTCTGGCCAATGTTGATGTCGAGTGCAGGGATGGGGTTTATCTAACCGAATTGCATCCCAGTCAACATTATCAATAATTCTTTCATGTCCTCAATTTATATTAACTACTTAGAAAACAAAGCCTAACTTCTTTCAATCATTTCATCAAACACTTTCTTTGCAAAACCCATTTTGCCTAATGTCCCATAATACTAATGCAGTGAATTAAATCCATACTTCAACATGGGCGTGCACTTCAGTTCCTTCAAATATAGAAAAACTCAAATACAGCGAAAGCAGAAGAAGATAATTTGGTATTTCATTTACCTCAAATAGTGGTAGGACTGTCGGAGGCAGGAGCAGTGAAGCTCGTGGCTGTGTGCGTTTTTGTTGTAGGGTGAACCGGTGATGTCGTGAAGTTAACTGTCTGGACTCTGGGGGCGATGAGGCATCAGGCGTGGAGCTATGGTTGCCGGCTGCGTGAGTGTGGTCTGTGTTTGATTTCACTGATTTGTGAAGTAAGGGTAAGGAGTAGGGTTTACACAATTACACTCTCATATACCCGAAGGTCCCGAACCTGATTCTATAATTTCTTATGGGTTATGGTAACTGGGCTGTGGGGAGTTGGGCTGGACGACTGGTATAGTGAATGTATTGGGTAGAATTATATTTTGGGCTGGATAAAAATAGTGGAAAGTCCAATAATTATTATTATTATTTTTTTTTTTACGGGTAATCGGTTCGATTTCGGGGCAAGGGTGTAAATACCATACCCGCCCCGCCCCATAGCGGTTCAGCAATATCAAATACCATACCCGCTCCATTGCACCATCGGTTCGGTTTTTTTCGCCCCATTCGGTTCGGTTAACCACGGTTTTCGATTTTGACAGTTTGAATTGCCATCCCTATTTCTGGACAAAACTTACCTCGTAATCAGCATCATAAATTTGGCTTATGCTCAACAAATGAGACTTTTAACATTTCACATAAAGCACATTGGATATAACAGGCAATCCAAATATGTGGACGATACCTTTACCAAGGATGGGTACAGTAACTTCCTCTCCAAAGGTAACCATAACGCCATTGCACTCATCAAGATTAGAGAACAGGGCCTTGTTTCCATATATACGTCTAAAACAAGCACTATCAAGATACCACATGGAGTTATTTTGAGTCTTGAATGCAACATGGGCAACAAGCAATTTAGTTTCACATTACTCCTAACGAGATCACTTTTCTTAACCCAAACCTTTCTAGAAGTTGAGGTATTCCTGGTCAATTTAGTTAGCATCTCTGTTAAGTGACTAACCTAATTCTATATGAAGTTAACCTGGTTAGGAATATCTCGACCTCTACCTTTATTCTCAATTTTATGACACCTAGGCCTAATATGTCCTAGAACACCAAAGCTAGGTTAAGGTAGGAACAAACCTAGGTTCAAAACTACGTTATTGTTGATAATGATTTTTATGCTTGGCAGTCCTACATGTTTTCGAGGTCCTCTGTCCTAAGACACCTTTGTCCTTGGGTTCAGGATTAGCAGTGTTATTAGTTCTGTTGGAGGCAAGGACGAATGTGATCTTGGATGTACTAGTTATCACTCTTAACATATCATAGACCTTGCCTATCTCTAGTGGGCTTATTTATCCCTAACAGGTGATCGAGTTTCTTAGTCCCGCTCAAGAGTGTTTGATCTTTTAAGGCCACTTGTTAGAGTTTTCACCTTATCTCCTAACTTCTCATTGACATATCTCAACTCACTCAGGTTTTTGGATGAATCCTAAAGATCACTTGATATTCTCTCTTTCTCTCTCTAGTTCATCTACCTTCTTCAACAGGGTTTTATTGACCTTCTTAATCTTAAGACTCTCCTTAAACAACAATTGATAAGCCTCATGAATATAAATCTCATTCTCAAAGTCTTCCTCAGAATTCTTACTTCGTTCCTCTTCCTTACACTTCTCTTTTCTGATTCACACTTAACACTAGATACAAAGGCCATATAGTTTCTTTCATCCTCACTGCTAGACGTCTGACCCTGTTCACTAGAATTTGTTTCATCATCGATTAGTGACGCTACCAATGTCTTACCCTTTCCTTTCTTCAAGTTCTTCTTATATCTATGACATTCATTATAGTGACCAAACCCCTTTTTTATTTTCTCTTTCCCATCATGATAGTCAATTAATAAGAATCGAGAAGATAGGTAGCTATTTTTTGCCATAATTACCAAGTGGGTTCGCATTATATGTCAAAAAATGGACCTTGACAGTGTTGTCTTTTTATAAACACAAAAATATATCTGACGGTTATAAAAATGGTTGATCATTATTTCCAAAAAAAATAGATAAATAAATAAAATAGTCTCAAAGAGAAAGTAGTTAGAGATCCCCCTCTTTATATATAAAGCTTCTTTGTCATGATTTAATCTTCCAAAACTTAAATGAAAGTTTTAAAATATATTCAACATAAGTTGGATGCATAATCAGTGACTGGCCAACAATCTTTCATATTTTTTCATTACATTTTATTGTTGGAATTCTTCAATACTCTCGAAAAATGAAAACTAAATTATTGGAGTGTAAGTTAGAACGACTATGAAGCAGATGAATAGATATTATGGTCAAACAAGAAATAAACCGGAGAAAGAAATTAAAAAATTCCAGAAAAAACATTTCTTGATTAAATAATCAGCAATATAAAATAAATGAAGTTTTAGTTAAGAAATGTTGGCTTATGGCAACAAGTTAGTGGGAAATTCTATAATTTTCCTTTTGTAAACTTTACTGCGAATTCTGCACGTTGTTGACCTAGCTAGGCCAAGGAGAAAAGACATTTAAAACAGATAGATTGATTATGGATGCAAGAAACCCACCATTATTGGTATAGATAGCTTTGAGTTTGTGGACGTCCACTTTCACACCTTCCTCTTTTATTATTATTATTATTATTATTATTATTATTATTATTATTATTATTATTATAATAATAATAATAATAAGACTTTCGAAAGTTGTCTTAATGAAAGTTGCCAAAAACTAGCTATTTTCATATCATCTCCAACTTTCTTCATTTTTTTTTACTCAAGTATTTGCAGTAAATACCTTTTGGTTCAGCAATATTTAAGGCCACCCGATCTATTATGTTCGTATTTCTTTCTTCAATTTATTTCTTGTTAGTCATGTCTTTCATATGAAACCATAATATCTATGCATTTGAGTTTTCTGGCACGTCTGGGATAAAAATTCAAACATATATTTTAATGTTACGCATTGATCAATTCCATTGCCGTCGGTGGATAAGAATGAATATGTAAGTTGAATTTATCACGTTTCTAACAATTTTCAAATTGGATTGAGATGGCATGCATCATTCTCTCTCCCTCTCCCTCTCCCTCTCCCTCTCTCTCTCTCTCTCTCTCTCTCTCTCTATTCTTTATATATGTGTTTGTTTGCTTATATATCAGCATTATAACTACGGAGTTGTACATACATATTTATTACATTATAACGATAATAGGGAGTTTTAGAGAGCAAAAGTAAGAGAGAGATGGTAACAGAGATTGTGAATGTAGAAGTGGAAGGGATGTTGAGTGAGTCAATAGCATATTCTAATGAAGCAAATAAATTGCCATTCTTGTCACTAAACCATGTCTCTTTTGTCTGCAAATCCGTCAAAAAATCTGTGCAGTTTTATGAGCAAGTTCTTGGATTCGCCCTAATCAAGAGGCCCTCTTCTTTTGACTTTGATGGAGCTTGGTATGTATCTTCATCTCTCTCTGCGTGTGTTTGCATAGGGGTAAAGTAGAAATGAAAAATATGAAGCATTTTGACAAATTAGACACGTTAGTTTTGCATATTACTTTCCAAAATCTCCAATATTTTGAACATACTTAAACACCCACAATTTATACTCAAGCACTAGCATTAGTTATTTCGACTGTTCCTACTGGTTTTAAACAAGATTGACAATTAAAGAAAGTGGGGGAAGTTGCAGATGTTACTTCACTGCTATAGAATTAATTTACATGGAAGTTTGATTTCTCTCTTTTTAACTAGAGGAATTATTTTGCTTTCTAAACTATAGACATAAATTGAAATGCCCAGAAATAAACCTGTAAGCGATCAAACCCAAAAATCAAAAATAGTGTAGAAAAGTAAAGCTTGCAAATATTAAAATATGAACACACGGACTTGTTTCGGTCGAAGTCCCAGACGTTCGATGACCATTTCTAACAACTAATTCCCTGTTGAGTATCCATTATAATGGATAACGATCTTTTTGCACTAAGAATGGCCAAAACGGCAACCAAGTATACAATCAATTCCAAAATACCAAAAATCAAGTCACAGAGAGGACTTATCTTTGAAGAATCAGCATATCGATACCATTTTCACTCAAAAATACTAGAATCAGAAAGAGGATAGAAGATTTCAAATCTCGAGTGAGATTTTCAAGATCAAAAGAAAACCCCAATTCCAAAGAAAATAATCCAGAAGCCAATCAGAAGGTCAGGAGGAAGTAAGGTTTCACAATCCAGTTAAATGCATCCACCAGTAAAAACGTGTTTCACAAAACAAGACTTTAGGCCAATTTTGGGAGCGCACACCACACGTGCACTGAACTTAACAAAAATCAATAAACCTCTCGATCTGGATGAATTTTTCTACCGTTTATCTAATTTAAGGAGACATGAAGACTATTGTCATTATAAAAACTATTTCCATCCAACCAATCCCAGAGGCAAATTAATGTAGTACAGTCTCATTTGCAAGAAATTTACAATAAGTCAAGTGGACAAGTTTTGGTACACATATCTCGTACAATAATATATTGGACGAGTACTATTTAGCCAACTCCTAACATGTATGAGAGTATCATGTCGTGTCTTCTCTAGTCCAGTGCACTAAACATATATTTTTCAAGTCTTAGCACATAATTCCTCTACTTCTTTAATATACTCTAAATTAATATGTGATTCTACCTTTTCTTATTCATGATCATCTTTGTTGGGTGGGAATTTGATTACTAATCCAAATTGAATTGAATTTGTAGGTTGTTCAACCATGGAATGGGAATCCATTTGCTTGAAGCTGCAGAAAATGTCCCAAACAAAAAAGAGAAAATAAATCCAAAAGACAACCACATTTCATTCCAATGCTCAGATATGGAACTCATAACCCAAAAATTACAAGAAATGAAAATAGAATATGTAACAGCAATTGTCAAGGAAGGAGGCATAACAGTGGATCAATTGTTCTTCCATGATCCAGATGGTTATATGATTGAAATTTGCAATTGCCAAAATCTACCAGTTCTTCCACTTTCTTCCTGCCCTCTTAAGAAGCTACAAAACCCTAATGATAATCTCACATTATCATCTCTCTACGGTGAGTTTTTAATTCATTGAGTGTAAACCGAGACCATTTTATAGTAATTAGGGTTTTTGTTGCAGAAAAGTTTCATGGTATTTATTTACTTTACGGTAAACATTACTAGATGACCGGCTATATAGATAAAAATTATGAGTTCAAGTTTTGTTATCATCAACTTAAAAATGTGATTATTAATTAATTAATGTGTTATTACAAATCACAGGGAAGAAGATGCAGTGCAATAGAGAAGTAGAAGCTCTGATGTTGGAGAATTTGGCAGTGGAAATGTTGGACATTTCAATTTGACTGCATTTCTCACCGTATGAGTCAAAAGAATGTAAAATATATGTATGGAAAAGAGAAAGCACTTTTATCTATAGTTAATTATAAATGTTAGCATATTGCAGCTCTTCCTTTCTAGTCTTCTGATTAATAGTAAAATATCAATCGATACTGATTGGTTTTGGCTTCAGAGTTCAATGGTCGCATATATGTGGAGAGAGACTTATTGTTCTAATTATGTTGTCATACAAATTCAATATTTTGCGAAAACGAGCTCCATATAGAAAATGGGCTCGGGTTTTTCGGGTCGAATTATCATCTCTAATTAAAGCACTGTTGAAAAAATATTAACTGAGTACAAACATTATAGCCCCAAGTTTTGCTCATGCGAATAAACTCTGCATATTAAGTGGGGGAGATAGAAGTACTTTGTCACATTTATAACATTTTGACACAACATGAGCAATGAACACTTTTTTTTTTCAACCGTGCTAGGCTTAACAGGTCCTTACCAGGCCACACACACACATGGGGTCGACATAAAATTTTTTTTTTAAAGCATGTGGGGCCCCTATACAGTGAGGAACCCTATAAAACACTTGTGAGCCATTGCCCTGTACATTGGACATTATTCTTTTTTTTTTTTTTTTTTTTTTTTTTTTTTGAAGAAATAAGAGAATCAAAACTACACTATTTTGGTAGACTACGTGTGAATAGGAACTAACTTCTTCTCTTTTCTATTTATAGATGGCTGAATGGAATAAATCACATATTATCATACTATATACATCAATTCAACGAATTAATTTTAATTTCTAGGACACATCATATATTTACTACCAATAAATTAATATATCACGTCATTATTGCTTAACGTAAACTAAACAAATATACTTAATAAATCATTTCTCATATTACTTGTATACATTGAGATCCTCCAACCATTTTTTGTATTAGAAAACAACGCGTTTTGGATCTTTGAATGTGCAAACAAAAAAAACGTAAAAGCCATGTTTCACAATGCAATTAGTTTTTCCTTTCAAACCAAGTAATATTGCTTCAAGTCAAGATTTAAGAAGAATGAAATTGTTGATGGTTGACTTTGTCATTCTTCAATGGGGCTGTCTTATATGCAAAACATAGTAGAACTATTTATTCAAATCATAATACATCGAACCTGATCTATTCGAGTCACGATATTTCAATGTTGAGTAGATCTGTCCACTCACTTATTGTCCTTGTTTGTGTCCCATTTTTTTATCAAAAAATGATTTTTTAAATAGCGTATTGATGGGAAATGTGTGATTAAAAAATAAGAAAAAAATTGGATTTACGTATAATATTATTTTATTAAAAAATGTGTAATTAAAATTGTGTTAAAACACTATTCAACAATTCATTCTTTTCAAAAAATGGGACACAAACAATATGGCTCAAAGTTGAAAGTGCCAAGATTTGAGAGGACAATGAATTGAAACAAATAACAAATGGGTTCGGTGTAGTAATCCATGGCCAAAACCATGATTGGATAATAGATAATATTAATGTCCCTATCTAATGTCCCTACCAAGTACGAAGAATTGCCGTGCATATTTCCATTGATTAGTACAACTACCTATTGTCCTCTAACATTTATTGTTGCTTTGAGTGCAACTACTTTCTTCAAACTTTATAGCTAATTAATAATTTCTATGTCGAAATGATAGGGCCTGTTTGGGCTCGATTTTTTCACCCAAAAAATTGATTTTTTGACTGTTATTTCACTATTTTAACTGTTGTATTTGACTTCTTCTCTCATAAGTGGACCCCACTTTTCTCCTAACGGTCAAAAAATCAATTCTCAAAATCATTCCCAAACAGGCTCATAATTAGGATGAATATTTGGCTTTGTTTGTGCCCCATTCTTCCACATTCTATCACACTATTTTCTTACAATACTCATTTTCAATAACACATTTTTCATTAAAATAATATTATACGTAAATAAAAAAATCTTCTTTTTTAACAACGCATTTCAACATCAATCACTATTCCATAATACATTATTCACAAATAATAGGACACAAACATGCACTTTTATGGTTGTTCTATACTTTTAAACCATAGTTGATACATTGTACTCAATATGATTAAACCCATCATATTTATCCTTCCCAAATATCAATATACATAAAAGATGCCAAAACAACCTTATTTATAAACACTATATTATACCAACCAATTTTTCCATTCAAATGTCAATGCACATTTTGTCATTCACATGGTAGTGAGTAAAATAATATTTCTTTTCCAATTTTCTTGATTTAGTTTGAACTAACATTGTTTTAGTCAAATTTTGATCAAATGTCGAGTTTATATTAAATTATTTAAAAATAAGAACATGTTAATTCACTAAGATGTAAATTTTAAATTGCTAATTAAAATAATATTTTCGTGCATTTAAAAATTTGACGTAGTTGTTGTCCTAATAGGAAACAAAACACAAGAACAAAGTTGGTGTTCCTAATTGAGAAGAAAAGACGAACCTAGTTCTTGATTTTATTTTCTTTTTCCTAGATTGCTGACATTTTTCATTTTTCTTCACCTCCTTTCATCATAAGAGTCTACTATAATCAACCTCGTGATTAACATAAATTTTTACAATGCATTAACATATTTAGCCCTTATTTAAGCCCCATTTTTTCCATCAAAATTCAATTTTGAATGATGATTTGATCACATTTGAACAACACATTTTTCAATAAAATAATATTACACGGAAATTCAAAAATTTTCCTTATTTTTTTAACCACATATTATCTATTGTAATACTACTGCAAAAATGCATTTTTTGAATAAATAAAAATAAAAAAGGCTCAAACAACCCATTAATATGCTAAATTGAACCGGACTAAACATGTAAGTTACTAAAAACAATGTATATTGTCATGCATTTAATAGTATTACTTTTTCTTTTCTTTTCCTTTTTTTTTTCTTTTTTTTTTCTTTTGAAAAGCTTCCGTGACTCAATCATAACTATGTCGTAAATTATTGCCTTTCTTTTTAATTTATATTACTTCAATGTCAGATCAAATCAATCTTATTTTTCAATAAAATAATATTATACGCAAACTCAAAACTTTTCCTTAATTTTTAATCATCTATTTCTCATCAATATACTATTCAAAAATTTATTTATTTATTTATTTTGACAAAAATGGGGCTCAAAAGATTAAACACACTACTTTATAATTCCTTAAAGATATACTTAAAATAATACGACTAAACATATACCACTTAATCCTATGTTTGATTTAATTAAAAATCAATTTTTTAGTGAATTGATAAAAATTGTGAATCCAATAAAATATTTAATTAAAATTAATTATTAATTTTGACTAAAATTATCAATTTTTTAACTAAATAAAATAGAGACTATATTTTTAACTCCCTTTTTTATCTTCTCTCTCAACATGATAGTCAATTAATAAGAATCGAGAAGTTAGGTAGCTCTTTTCTATCGTATCCAAGTGGGTTCGCATTATCCTCGAGTTTGGTAAGAATTAAAATTCAGATTTTAATTTAAATCAAAATCAACAATTAATTTTACTTACATATCTTATGAGATCTATTATAACCACATATTTCATTAGCTTTTATCAAAATCCACTAAAAAACTGATTTTAATCCTCACAAAATATGGAATATGTGTCAAAATAGGGAATATAATCCTCTTATATATATATCAGGCTCAAAGAGAAAGTAGTTAGAGATCCCCTCTTCATATCTAATGTTTCTTTGTCATGATTTAATCTTCCAAAACTTAAATGAAAGTTTTAAATTACATACAACATAAGTTGATGCATAATCAGTGGCTGGCCAACAATCTTTTATATTTTTTCGTAACATTTTATTGTTGGTATTTTTCAGTACTCTTGGAAAAGCATTTTTGTAACGCTCATAAGTAAAGGGTTCTATAATAAGTTGCAGATCTTACATATTATGAGGATAAAATGTTTATTAAACAATTTAAGAAAAATTTAAATTTTGCCAAACATGCACTTAGGACGACGACTATGAGGCGGATGCATATATATTACGGTTTCAAATAAAAGACGTAACAAAAAAGAAATAAACTGGAGAAAGAAAATCAACATAATAGATCAGTTGGCCTTAAATATTGCTTAACGAAAAGGTATTTACTCCAAATAGTTGAATTAAAAATACTCAAGAAAGTAATTGGATTGATGATATGAAAAGGGAAGTGTTATGTGTCCACAAATCGTTACATTTCACATGAAGGAGGGTCCATATACGATAAAATATTCGTGGACCCGTCTCCTTGTAAGGGGGTGTAATCTATTTTGTACACCAAAAAGTGTACACGTAGAATAATCCATCTGAAAATGGCTGGTTTTTGGCAACTATCATTATAGGGCAATGTACGAAAGTGAAAATAAATAATAAATAAATAAAGAGGGTGTGAAGTGGCCATCCACAAACTCAAAGCTATCTATACCAATAAGAATAAAGACACTTAACCAGGTTTAGAAATAGAGAAGAAGGAGACACACTAATTTAACAGCAAATTATTGATGTTTTTTGTTTTCATTTTTCAAACTGTCCAATAACGCGTCTACACTTGACTCGCCTATTTTTAAACCCGTATGTGTAGCATGATTTACCAATAATGGTGGGTTTCTTGCATATACAATCAATCTATCTGTTTTAAATGCTTTTCTCCTTGACCTAGCTAGGTTAACCACGTGCAGAACTAGCAGAAAAGTTTAACAAAGGAGAACTACGGAAAATTTCCAACTAACTTGTTGGCAACAAGCCAACATTTCTTAATTAAAACTTCATTTATTTTATATTGTTGATTATTTAATCAAGAAATGTTTTTTTTGCCCCCTGGCATGTGTGGGATCAAAAAGGAAAACTATAAAAAAAAATGTTAATCATAAAAATTCGTAGAATTAATTGCGGATCCAAAACAACAATCATCAGTTTTTATTGTCATAAGGGAACATGAATATGTTGGCTTTAATTTGGAACATTTAGAGCATGTCACATGACCACTAGACTATTTTAAACTTTGACTAAAAATAATAAGCGATAAATTTTATTCTATTATATACCTTTTCATTAATTTTGTCCAATACATTATTTATTAACATTAGACTCAATAATGTAACCACAAAATTCAATTTCTTCTTCTTCTTCTTTTTTCTGTTTTATTAAAATCATCTACATACCAAATGTCGAGTGAGTCTGCAATATTATCCCGTATATATTTGATTACTTCTAAACGAGTAGTACATTCCTCGTGAAATTTGAACAAAACATGCTTGTAAATTTTAATGTAATCCCAGAATATTCAAACACATAGTTTAATGTTTTGCTCGTTGATCAATTCTATTGCCATCGGTGGATAAGAATAAAGGATCATGTATGTTGAATTTATCACGTTTATAACAATTTTCTCGTAGGATTGAGATGGCAAGCTTCATCGTTCATACTACTCTCTCTCTCTCTCTCTCTCTCTCTCTCTCTCTCTCTCTCTCTCTCTCTCTCTC